AATATTGAATATTGAGAACGATTTTTAGAACTATATCTTTATCGTTATCGTGCTTGGTGTGAACGGGTCTGTCTTTTTCGGAGAAATGACAAACAACAAGTGCTACACTGCTCAAAACTCGCGTTTGAATCGTCAGTGGCAAATTCTTTAAATATAAAAAACTTAGTCTGTGAGTCAGAACAGCCGGCATTGTATTCTACTCTACCAGGATCAGGAAACATTCCTCCATAAAATGCGCTGGACACATCTGAATATTTGGGTTGAAGTTTTCTGGACAGTGTTGTAAATACAACTTAACCACTGATTTCTAGTCGTGTCCTCATTTGGAAGGCCAAACAAAGTAATTTCACTTTCACAAGGAAACACACGGCGGGCTTGAGTGAGCGGAAGCCGGCAGCTAAAGTGGCGGCAGGCAGGCTTGTGGCAACCACATGTGACGACCCCGGGCTGGACTCTGCTTCGTCCACGGTGAAAGCCGATCCGGCGATTGACAGTGCGAAGTTGATGTTTTTCCTCAGCAACCAGCACGGATCAGCTCCAGGCATGAGGAAGCGGATATCGTCCTCTTTTGGAAGGCAAAAAGACAAAAAATTAAAACAAACAAAATAGTTTCGCATTCACAAAGAAACACACAGCACCTTCACGACATGGCGGTGGCGGCAACAACAATACTACAGCGAGAATAAAAGTTATGCCTTCTTTCTTTGTGTAAACATTTGGCCGGCGTTATGCAAATCTTCCCACATCATGAAGTAGATATGTGGGGGGCGTGTTAAAACCAGCAATTTTAGGTAGGCCTGGTTGACTCTTAACTTTTATAAAGAATATCTCTTTGGATATGAGACTTTCTTTGCAACTTTACAGATCTTCTTTATGCACCAAGAGCTTTTGAGACTTTAGTCTTTGCAACTTTACAGATCTTCTTTATGCACCAAGAGCTTGTAACACTCCAAAGTGAAAGGAAAAATTGAAATCGCATCATATGACCCCTTTAATAGAATAAGTGTCAAATTATTGTACTATATGCTGAAATTGCTGATATAAAACATTAGCATTGTTACTTAACTTTCAAGCTTAAAAATAGGTGCGTTCGACTTCATGTGGCGCCGCGCAAACCGATCGGCGGCTGACTTGAAGCAGTGCATGCCGGTTAGAAATGTAGTCCGACTTGAACCGGCGCCGACACTCCGTTTTCAACTCCGCCCCCGACTGCAAGCGGCTGCTCTCGATGACTGCCGTCTGTAGCCCTGCTTCAAGTCGAACGCACCTAATGTGGTAGGGCACGTGATTTGTCAGCTGCGTTGTCAGTATGTCGCGTGATCAGTCAGCTGACGCTTTATAAACTGGTCGGGTCGCCTGGGACGCTGTATAATGTCATTAGGCTTGTTTGAGATGAGAAACAGTGCCAGAGGACAGTAACAAAACAAGTAATCTCGTAGATATCTGTTCACTTCGAGAGGTCAGAACTGTCCGTCTTGCCTGCTCTTATTTCACTCCTCCCCTCACTGCAGCCGCCTACTCTCGCCTTCATTTCAGGCAAGGCAAGGTGCATCTCAAACAAGCCTATTGTCAAAACAGACAACTGACGGACTTTTCAAACACAACCGCCTAAAGAGACGCGGATTCTTGTTTTATTCATGTATACAGCCCAAGCGTAACACTAGTATTCAAGGATAACACGGTTTCCTGGAGCCGTCGACTGAGACTTTAGGTGCGTTCGACTGAGCGTTTAGGTGCGTTGAAATGATCCAGTTCAACCATACTAATAAGCAAAAATTACTCTAGACCAGTGGTTCTCAACCCGCGGGCCGCATGCGGCCCACCGTGCTGAACACAAATAAAAAAAAAAAACTTTCAGTTTTACAATTCATTTTAGTTTTTACATTAATTAAAAAATGTACTAAAACAGTGAGCATATGTTTGATCAATTTAGCCTTCTCAAATCATCACGACTTGACTAAAATAAAATCTATATATATAAAACAGTTCAAGCATATAACAACAACAGGAGCGTTTCACAAACATGAACCGAAACTCAGCGAATACATGT